AGACGATGTAACAGGACAGAAAGCTTCAGAGGGAGGGGGATACGCGGGGGGGGGGGACTCAGAGAGGGGAGGGGAAGGGGGGGGAGAGAGAGAGAGAGAGAGAGAGAGAGAGAGAGAGAGAGAGAGAGAGAGACTCAGAGAGAGAGAGAGGGGGAGAGAGACTCAGAGAGAGAGAGAGAGAGAGAGAGAGAGAGAGAGAGAGAGAGAGAGAGAGAGAGAGAGAGAGAAATAGAGAGAAGAAGAAGAAGAAGAAGAAGAAGAAGAAGAAGAAGAAGAAGAAGAAGAAGAAGAAGAAGAAGAAGAAGAAGAAGAAGAAGAAGAGAGAGAGAGAGAGAGAGAGAGAGAGAGAGAGAAAGAGAGAGAAAGAGAGAGAAAGAGAAGAGGGGGGGGGGGAGGCGGTGGAGAAAACAGAACAGGTTTCATGATCCCTTCAAGACTAAGCTCTGAATTCCACACCCACCTCCAGTAGGAGAGTGACAAGTAGGAAGACAGTCTACTTGCAAACTCCAAAAATAATCCAAAAATACAAGAACACCCTATTCGGAATTTGAACGAGGGCCATCTACAACATATCCCAGCGTGCTACCAACTCAGCTAAAGGCACACCCCCGGCACCTGCTTCTCATTGGGTAAAAAGTTGTTCCTGCATCCGATCCGGACATTGGGGATTGCCTTGTTGGTGAGACAACTTCCTGGGTCTTTGGCATTGTGGTAGGGTGGCCAGTTCCTTTCCACGCCGCCTTTACTCCCCCAACTAGAAGTCAGGTACCCATTACCGCTGAGTGGGCAGGAGGGGGTGGAAAAATCTGTGTCAGAACCGAGGCTCAAACCCGGACTTTCCACTTCGGAGACGAGCGAACTAACCGCTCCGCCACCGCAGCACCCTCTTCTCATTGTGTACATAGAAAAATATAGTAACGAATGAAAAAAGAAAAAAAAGCCTCTAAAAAAGCAAAATGAACACAGCAACGTTAAGGTATACAGCCCACTTTTACTCCCCTGATTGATATACAGTATACATCATAATAATATTAGGATCCACAATCTAGCCAAATACGAGTCAACATTATTGTCATGCATCATTGCAAAGTAACATAAACCAACAACGGTATATAAAAGCATATGAGAAAACAACACACAAAAAACTCAAAGGGACATACAAATTGTCTCAGTCAGCTCTTACTCAGTTCCTAACATTCAAACATCCTGATCAAAACTGAAGACATTTTTTCCCTATGATGACAGACCAAAATGTTAGGCACAGCAGGTGAACTTGGATTTTATCCAAGGATGATTGATGTAAGGGCACATGGAAAAAGGGACTTGAACCTACAGCCAACAGAACATTATTCTTTGTAAAACGTTTGCCAGTTTCAACATGTTACAACAACATGATAAAGTTAGAAAACAGATATGGGCATGAGAGGTTCACATTCTGTATATATATATATATACGCAGGCTGTTTTTTTATACCCCAACTGACACACTGTGCCAATCCAGGCTGAGAGGGATACAATACTCCAGCTAACAGACGGAGACACTCAATCAACATCTCCCTCCACCAACCCTGGTAGTGAACTCCCATTCTGTTTTATGTTTTAGTAGCGGTTTTACGGCGCTCACAACTGCATAAGGTCATATGAGCGCCAAGGGGTGGATGTCAACAGAGAAGTCTTTACAGGGAATCAGACTTACTCTGCTCACCTCTCTAGCTTCAACAGCACAAAGTCTGCTTCGACTATCAAGGCACCCTGGGAATAGCGGGTCACAAGAGTGTGACAAACATACAAAAGAAGTAGAGGAAAATGAGGATAGTAAGGATTAGGAAAGAAAAAGCAGCAGTTCCCTGTTGTAGTTCAGGCACAGTTATGAGCATGACATGGTTGGATCAGCCCATTTACCATTCTATCGTGCATTAGAACGAGAAATGTCCCCCCTTTGGGAATGGCCTAAAGACACTTCAGCCAGTGGCACCGCCCCGGGGGCTGACTCCCATTCTGTGTGCGATGGTGAAGCACCTAATCACTACACCACAGACGCTGGTATGGGCAACAGATCCAACAACCAAGTGCACATGTCCTTATCATCATACGAACCAGCAGCACTAAAAATAACGAAAAAAATGCCATAACTTTAAATGATAACTCATTGTGACATTGGCTGTAACATTTCATCTGGTCACTAACAATGGTAGATCTGTTGTGACAAATGTAAAAGATTTTTACACATGCGCAGGTCCAGGCCAGTGTGTAAGACAAGAAGTGCATCAGTAAACTTTTCCACCTTTTTCACAGTCCACTCTCAAATCTGTCATGGTTTAACATCAACTTTCAACTCTCCTAAAATGTAATAGTAAAGGTTTAATGCCCTCATCAACACATTTCTAATCAGTTTGGAAAGTTTTTACAGCGCTTGAAAGTGAATAAGGGTCATATGAACGCCTGGAACACAAGGCTGCCCCTAGGATGCAGGCACCAGGTTTGCCTCTGCCCCTCCCCGGACCTGGGCGGAGTGGGACAAAGCGGACAGAAGGAACCACTAGAGGACAGGACAGGTCTTCCCAACACTGGAACTGAACTCTTGAGTTCTCTGTGCAATGAAAAAGAGCCTAACAGCTGCACCACAAACGCCTGTCGTCACATCTCCCAAAAAAGCACAAACATCTTCCTCAGACAACTGATAATCATACCAATAGAAGGAAAAACTTTCCATTTTCAGCAAACTGAATCTTAAAAATTCAAATGTCAGAAAAGCTATAAATTTTGATATGACGAAAAAGTTAATCTCAAGCCAAAGTAACAAACTGCTAATCTAAACATCACAGACAGTTGACAGCTTGCAGGGCATCAGTTTTGTGGGGCAACAAGACAAAAACCTTCATACTTGCAAGCAGCAATGTCAAACCCTAAAAGTAACAATAAATTCCACAGAGTTTACAACAAACAACTGTTCCCAAATTCACTGCGTTGTATAATATAATGCCCCCTACATTTTGGAGAGGTGGTGTATTGACAAGTCAGTCACGCAGTCAACCAGAGAAAACAGTGGATTGTACCAACAGAATCCTGAGAGGTACAACCGCTTCTGACACACAAATTACATCACACCTGGCTTTGGTTAATAAATTAATGGACAATAATGAACAACTACACTTTCGAGTCCACAACAAAAATCTCCATAAAAACAAATTTCAGATCATGAAACAATATGGCTTAGATCTATATTGGATTTACGAGATCAACAAAGTGATTTCTCACTATGAAATGTATTAAGAAACAATTTTACAGTGTCAGTCAACAGATCAGGCTGCGAGATTCTTGGAACACAATAAAATAGATCTTCCTTATTCAACGTGGCGTGCAGGAAGAAACAGAAAAATCTGAGTACTTGACCTGGGTGAGTTACTGCGTCAGCTGGTGGCAAAGGCCAGGAGAAGGGACTTGAAAAAAAAACAACCAATCCCTAGACAGTTACTTGTTCGAATGAGGTACATGGTAGAATGCAAGTTTGTTTATTTTCGGGCCCTACAAATATTCCTTGATCAATATCAGACTGTGTAAAAAGATATCAATACAGCCCTGGTGAGGTTGTCTATTAAAAAACAAGGGTCTGTGAGGCTCAAAAACCTGCATCACAGACCAATGTTTTTGAGCAGGATGAATTTCTTGTTTGACGATGATCATGATGTTCCCAAGGAGTGATGTACCTCATTATTCAACTTTTGTTAATGTCTTGTTTGTCGATGATGATGATGATGATGTTCCCAGGGAGTGATGTACCTCATTATTCAACCTTTGTTAATGTACAACTCAAGCCAATAAACTTGCTTGTACTTGTAGCCCTCATTTGTTCAGGGACATCAACCATGAGAGTGATGAGAAAATACAATCCCACATTTGTCGTAGTACAATCAAAATCCTCCTTGAGGTATCGACACAACAGGCAACACAGACACAACATCACCAGCCTTAGTTTGACACCCCGTTGATTGTCTCAAAAACACCAAACAACAACCACATAACGATTCATTACATATCCACGCTTTACTTTTATTGCATGCAGCTCGAGGGCTTTTGTGACACAGCTTGTAGAAGAAAAACAAGTTATGAGATGCACCTTGAAAATAAACCAACAAACGTGTCTCTGAACAACCAGCTGAAACGGACTCGAAATCTCTGATGATGACGGGAGATTCTTCTTATGAGGATTCAATCAACATACAATGGGTCCACAGCTCTAATCATATTCTGGTTTTACCAGAGAAGAAAAAAAAAAGAATAAAAACTTGTTCAAACAAAAGTTTCATATACGTGAGGCAGCGTGGTGGAATCAGGCTCTCGTCAAAATAATCGAAGTGAAGAAATTTCCATTTTTCCGCAGGTTTGTGAATTTTTTTCAAATTTTTGTTTTTTGGCTCAACACCTTTCATACCAATTAAAGAACTCATTTATGTGTGGATTTTTCTGAAAAACGTTGATTAAAGGTACAAAAAATGTAAATTTTTAGTTACCACGGACTCTTAAGCTAAGGATATAACTAATCTTTGGCGGCTATTTTCTCATTAATTTTACCTCTGAAAATAGGTGAACCCCACCTCCTTCTTTCGCACATATCTCGACTTGTTTTCAAGATAAATGAATATTTTTTTCATCTAAATAAAGACAAGTAAACAAGCTTTAAGATGATACCAATAACTGTACATGCTCAAAAATTGATGAGAGCCTGATTCCACCGCGCTGCCTCACAAATAACATTGGTGAATGTACTAGCGACAGAGTCATTTTCCTGCCCTTGAGAAACAATTTTATCCTCATACAAAATCTGTAAATAAAAACAAAAACAACCCCACAAAACAATTAATAGATAATCTCAATGGGATAAGGTATGGCCACTTTGATTAAAAATGATAATTAGCAATAATCTCCAAACACAAACCAACATGCACTAGACCCTACTAAAATAGCAGATGACGTTTTCACTATCAGCATTTTTCTTCTCCTTTATACACTTTGACCAGAAATCAATATATTAGTAAAATCCCTGCAAGGGAAAAACTGATACATTTTAGTTCAAGATTTTCCTTTGGCAATAAATGTGCAACATTTGTTATCTCATTAATTCAGATTAATGTACACGTATTCTTACATAAATTCCAAAATTGACAACAAAATAGGAAACAGAAGGACGAGGGAACTCTTTATGATTTAGAAGGTGATAATTTTCAAAAAAGATAACAATCGTTCTATCCTGCTCGATGTGAATCGTAGCTTCTTCTGTCACTGTGACATGAGCAGCCCTGCACGGCTGATAGACGGACGTTCAACTTTACAGGCCAAAGACAAAAAAAAGGCAATATCCTCATTCTGACACCAGGAACAATTCATTAACACAGCACAACACAGATCTAAATAAAAACCTTCTCTCAAGGTGTAAAAGAGAACACACAGCATCTCCTGCTTAGATCACGGCAGAAACAATCAAATGCCCACAGTATTCCTGTTTGAACAACAACAAAATGTCAAGACTCCTAAAATACACCCACAGACAAGAGGGTACACTCCGATATGCTTCTTTCATGAGCAGCAACAACAAAATGTCAGCACTCCTAAAATACACCCACAGACAAGAGGGTACACTCCGATATGCTTCTTTCATGAGCAGCAACAACATTCCACAATCCTAAACTACTCTCTCTTTCAGGGAACAGCATTATGCAAACATTCTAAAACATTCCTCTTTATATATTGAATGAACAACTTGCTTACCCACTTGTTGAAAAAATAACAAAAATATGACTTCTCTATCGCAAAGGCAAAAAACCAGGACAGTTATAAAGCTATCACACACAAGTTTTATCAGTAAGTGAGACGTGACCTGCTTGGTACAACAATGTCAGTGAATCTCCACCAAGTTTGCCAACAGTTGAGTAGGTCAAGGTCACATCACACAATTTAGAATTGACCAGGGATCAAGTGGTCTAAATATAAATTTGAATGTCCAGTTTATTTTAATCATAAATACATACACAGAGAACAATACAAAGGGACAAAATTTATTTCATCTAATATACTAACCAATAGTTAACTGTAGCTTTTTTAAAAAAGTTGTCGGGAAGAATTAAAAATATAATCACAAATTAAAAAATTTAAATCCCCCTCATGACATATGTAACAATCTGAAATAAAACATAGATCTATATTTTTTTTTACATATATGTAAAAAAAAAAGCACCCCTTCAGACCCCAAGCAAACATGAAGCGGTTTGCAGAACTTAAACACAAAGTTGAATAGAAGTTTCCCATGATAAAAACAACAGCTTTTTTAGTTTTAGTAGAGGTTTTACAGCACTCGCAACTGCATACGGTCATATGAGCACAGAAGATTAGAGGTGTTACAAGAGAGTAACAAACATAAACAAGAAGAAGGGGAGATAAGGACGATAGATGTTTGACAGGAAGGAAAGAAGAAGCAAACTACACCAGAGCACCCGCCAACCACCCACACAATAGCTTTAACCCTACAGGAACATGCAAAAGCTACCATTACCATTCTACACGCTGAATGCACGCACGCCTGAGCACACTGAACACACACCCCAGCACGCACATGTGTAAACCTAGCATCTGTCACTGAGGCAAGACAAGATGCACAGGTCCTGTACGTTCAGAGCTCAAAGGGTTAAGCAAATGTTTGCTCACTGACCTGGAACGAATCGCTCCGCTTGGACGCACACACATGACAAACGCATTGTAAAAAACTGACAGATATATGAAACGTGACCTTAAACACTGTGGTCTTCCAAAGCCAACCTATAAATATCTAAGCTGCCAGTAGGGAGTCGAACCCACTGACATTTCTCCTTTTCACTTACTAGAAAGAGAAACGCTCAAGTCATTTTTCAGTCAAAGTTAAATGACAGTTGCAGGCTTGCCAACTTTTGAGATAGTGAATTCTGGAATTTTGATTGCGCTGGATAGGCTACTAAAGCTACTAAAAAAAACACCCACACCACAAAAACAGCTCAAACAAACCAGTGGAGAAACAGAGAGAGAGAGAGAGAGAGAGAGAGAGAGAGAGACAGAGAGAGAGAGAGATGAAAAAGAGATGAGAATCTTACAGTACAGTTACTACACACAGCTCTAACACAGAAGCAGCCCCATGTAGACCCCTCCCTGTATCTTTCTAGGAAAAAAAAAATTTGGGGGGGGGGGGGGAGGGTACATCGTGATTTTCAGGAAACTGACATTCCAGGGAAGGTACAGAATGACAATTGCAATTCGCAAATTTCCCTAAAAATTCTGGAAGGTAGGCAAGCCTGCAGTTGCTACAGAATCGGCAGTCAAAAGATCGCGTCCACTAGAACCGATATTAAAAAAAGAAAAAGAAAAAAGACACAAAATATCAGCTTACAGTGGTTGGAGAAATGAATTGTGCATTACTTTCAGTCGACAGTACAAGGAGGCTGGGACGAGTTTTGGTTTAACAAAGTACGTACTATTTATTGTAACGATTCAGTCCAGTTAACGCTCCCAAGGCACAAGTTTTTCATTACACATCGGTCTTCACTGCTGAAAGACACGACTGACATCTTGCTGGCTGGCATTTTTGAAAACATTAACAAACTGATATGGTGATTAACCCTTTGAGATATCTGGTAGGCCTACTCCCCGGTAGCCTCTTCAAAATAGTTTAATCAAATCGTAATTCACATTAAGCAAAAGAAGAAAAACAAATTTTAAATCCCCAAAACCAGCAACTGAAGACCAAAATAATAGTCAATACGGAACCACAACATAGTCACTGACAGTCAACAGCCATAAAACAAATAATAAACAACAAGCAAACACAGCCCCATATCCAACCCTCTCCGCCTTGCTATTACACATTCACAATGTTCAGCCATTTTGTCTTTTGCATCTTCAAACAGTTTTGAAAAAAAAAAATATGTTACCATCTCTTTACCTACAAAAGCAATAATTTAAGTCAGCACCTTCCTATTCGAGTCATAATTTTTTTTAAAACCCAGAAACCTTAAAAATGACAAAAGAGTAACACAGCCATAAGGAATAGTACAGGAACAATTTAACATTACTTTTAAACTCTGTTAGATTAACCAAGAGGCAGGACCTCTCAATCAAAAAAGCTTCATCTCCGACACGACTGAACCAAGGTGGAGAATCCTGAAAGCTCTCCACACATCCCAAATTTAAGAAAGAATGCCTGTTGGAGATTGAAATCAGGATCACCCACACCATAGTTCATCATAATACCTGTATAATCTTTGAGCTAATGGCACAGGTGTGCCCAACATGTACTGGGGGATCTTATACGAGTCGGAACCTCTCTGGAAAGACCCCTCCTTTCGCCATTTCATTTGACATCATTGACAGAACACGTAAGTCAACATCACATCATTGACAGAACACGTAAATCAACATGACATCATTGACAGAACACGTAAGTCAACATCACATCATTGACAGAACACGTAAATCAACATGACATCATTGACAGAACACGTAAATCAACATCACATTTTTGACAGAACACGTAAATCAACATCACACAGTCACTGGGCAAGTCGCAGTCTTTGAACACAAAATAAACCCTTCAAATCAAAGCATTTATAGCTGATATACATCCAACCAACATCCCTGCAAAGCAAGCCTACAAATGGTGACAAGAGAACATTTTCAGGCAAACAGAAACCCATGATATCCTCAGATCACAAGATAACGAGGCATATATGAAAAAAAATATAAAAAAAAAACCCAATAAAAATTTGGAATTGCCACAACCACTGCAATAATATTACACACTTAATTGTGTGTCTAAAAGAAGCTTAGCTTAATGCAACAAAATTAAAACAACTCACTGACAAACCAGTTACCAGTGTCATGACAAAAACGGGTCGACATAAACTTGACAACAGATCTTTCAAAACCCATCGGATAAGTGAGGGAAGCTGCATGAACAACCACAATGGCTATAAAACAATGCACAAGACCCTCTTTAGCAGCATATGTTGAATGAAAAGACAGTTTCTGAAAAGTCCCAGTGAGCTGGAAAAAAAAACCCCACAATCGGTTGAACAAATTGGCAGGCAGCTGCAAGTCTTAATCTTATTCCTGCGGCGACATAGGAAAGAGAACTTTATAGGCAAAAGTTGTCAAATCAATCTTTTTGGCAGCAGAGTAGCTAACAAATCAATCTTTTTGGCAGATTACAGAGATGAAACGACACACAAGCTGAAAGTCTAAAGATGAGATTTTTCCTCATAAGTAAAAAACGAAACAATGTTCTTGCTCATCCAGATCTACTTACCTAAGACTGAGCTTAAAGATCATCAGAAAGCTCTTAATAAGGCAAAGGTCATACAAGTAAAACAAAAGAATGTTAACGAAGAAGGAACAACTGTTGGTAGAAACCTGTGATTGAGCTCAACAACTTTGCATCTTTTTAGTGGAAGACAAAACAACGGATTAAAATTAAAGAAAGAAAAGAAAAAGAAAAGAAAAAAAAGTCTGAATCAATGTAAATGGGTATCATAACAGTACCACTATGACCCTCATCAGACAAGACGAACACAAACAATGGATTAAAGAAGAAGAAAAAAAAGAGTCTGAATCAGTGTCAATTGGTATCATACCAGTACCACTATGACCCTCATCAGACAAGACAAACACAAACAAGCACACACAGCTATATATGGAATAAAGCTCAACTTCAACAATGTTCACAGCTGTTCTGATATTTCCATTTGCGACTAGTCAAAATATTTTTGTTGCATGTAGTTTTGACCTGGAGTTTTTTCAAATCCGTACTGAGAGTACAGTTTGACCAGATGGTCTTTGCACTCCAGGGAACCCTTGTAGCAGTGGAACACCTCGCTCATCACCACAATTATATCCAACAACCTGGGGAGACAAAGGAATGACAAAGTTCTCAACAGCTCTCCAAGAACTACAAGGAATCACAACAAACATGTATGTGTATGTGACAAATAAAAAAAAAATTAGACAGACAGTCACAAACGAGGCACAAAAAAAAATTAAGTCATCTTATTTTTGTCTAAAACTATATCGCCTGGAAAAATCCCCTTGCATCCTGTTCTAAGAGAGTGACAGCTCGCGGAGCGAAAAAGTTAAAAATACAATGTTGGAACAAAGCGTAATTATCCATCTACTGGCACACTTGACATTTAAACATTGTTTTCCCCAGAAACCAGTAATTTCTGACTCAAATCGTTATCCACCGTTACCATTGACATATCGATGGCGTCATTCTCTAACAATGTCACAAGTTTCCTGAAAATTTTTCAACAGGTAAATACAAAACAAAAAAACCCTTCTGCTTTTTTTAAACGATGAGAGAAGACTCAAAAGTTAGCTCAAAGTACTGTAATATAATACCTACAGTGCAAGCTGACTTGTGACATTTATTGAGGACCTGCAGACTGACCTTGGCAATGGTTTCAGAAAAGACAAAGAATTGATCTATTGCTTCCAGTTACAAGGTAAGAGCTTTTTTAGTTTTAGTAGAGGTTTTACGGCACTCGCAACTGCTATAAGGTCATATGAGCGCCAGAAGATTAGAGGTGTTACAAGAGAGTAACAAACATAAAAAAAGAAGGAGGGGAGATAAGTCGATAGATGTTTGATAGGAAAGGAGCAAACCACACCAGAGCACCCGCCAAGTAACACCATCGACATACATGGGCTCTTTACTTGGTGGAGCCCTGCTGCTCACAAAATCATGTCTTTGCCCTTGTGGTAAATCGAGCTAATCCGCAAAATATCTATTTCATCTTTTTAAATTTTTTTATTCGACCAATCCATAGTAAATTATGATCTATTTCATAAAAGTTAAGTCAAATACAAGTCTGAATTTGCACAAATAAAAACCAAAAAAACCTGAACAACCCTTTTCTATTCAATGGAATTTTAGGCTTTTTTTTTTATAGCGCAAGACCACCAAGTTATAGCCCATGTACCAAAGGACAGAGTGAAGAGCCATATGAGCCTCCAAAATGTCTGCCTTGAGAACAGACTAAAACACTCGACGCAGCACAACTCTCTCAAGTCCAGCCATACCAACTTAACCAAAGACACAATATGAGGTGCTGGGATTAGGAGAGCCCTTCTGAAAGGTCTGTCTTTCCTCTCCATAAGTTGCTAGACTTTTCTAACAACAAGAAAGCCATTACTGTGCCCATATGCTTCTTGTAAAATAAAACGACAAATAATTATAAAAATCACTAAAACTAAATGACAGTTCACTTGTGAGGGACTTGACAATTTCCCAACTGAACTTTCATATTACATCACCTCCTAGTAATTCATGCCAACTGGTCTCAAAACTAAAACTGATTGCCAAATTCTCCACCAAAAAAAAAAAAAAAAAGTATTAATCCAAAGATGTGTTGCATATCAACAAACCCTGGCAAATATTCCTATACATAGTGGTTCTATAATCACTTACATTTTTCCCAGCTGCCTTCCTCTGTAAGCGTCATTGATAACCAGATCTTCTAAACGCGCTCTCTGAAAACACAAAATATATACAAGTCAAAATGTATACGCAATAACGAACTGAGGCAAAGACCTAATATAAAAAACTTCTGTCTTCATCCAGTCAAAGGGACAGTAAGGAAGAACAGGAACATATCAAACCATTATTGATAACTATCAAAGCATTATTGATAACTATCAAAGCATTATTGATAACTATCAAAGCATTATTGACAACTATCAAATCATGAACGACAGAGGAGAACTAGAGGTACAAAAACAGATCACAGAAGCAGCCAAAAAAAACCCAAACAACCAACAACTAAAAAAAACAAGCCAAAATCCCAGAACAGTCATAGTCTTTGATGAAATTCAATTTGAACGAAAAGCTATTTTTAGTTTAGTTTTAGTAAGAGTTTTACGGCACTTGCAACACAATAACGTCACATAAGTGCCGATTAGAGGTGTTACAAGAGAGTAACAAACACAAAAAAAAAAGGAGGAGAGAGAAGGACGACAGCTTTTGATCGGAAAGAAGGAGCAAACCACACCAGAGCACCCGCCAACACCCACTGAAGAGGTATTTAAAGTGACTTATCTGCATGAGCAGCTATCTATATCCGAACAAATAGAATGGTGAACTTATCAAGAAGTTATGAGCAAAAAGTCTGAGCTAGGGCGTGACTTACAGCGGTAGCCCCGTGTATAAACTTCTGCTCCACCACCAGTGTGACCGTGCCAACAATAATCCCAAGCTTCACATCTTCTATGACAGTTATAAAGTACGTATCCACACAAGCTTTCATTTTGTTGAATCTCTCTGAAAATGCAAAGAACAAACAATTTCAAAACAAATTCTTACCCTTAACTTTAAAAAAATAAATTATCCTCAATTTTTTTAACGTTTTGTATTTTAGCAAGAGTTTTACGGCGTTCGCAACAGCATAAGGTTACATGAGTGCGCTCCTTAACTTTTTAGTGTCAATTCCAACTAGTTGAGTTGAAGAGCATGGCAAATTGGTGTAGAAATCGGGTGCATTTTGCAAGAGGCAGAAAGAATAATTTGTCAATTTGGGGTAAAAGAAACACATTGGTGCAAAAAAGGCCACACAACAGATTACATTGGTCTGAACAACAAACAAAACTCAAACTAGTTTATATGATAAAATACTTTTAGTTCAGAAAAGAAGAAACATACATCAACACAATAACAGCTCCATGATTCAGAGCAAACACAAGACAGCTATGCCACCTACATCAGGAAACATCAGTGATAAACAAGATTGTACATCTTATCACACATAATTAATTATACAAAATGAGCATAAATACTATTTATAAGTGTAGAGTCTGAAGAAGAACTTTGACTGAAACTAATGTTTGCACACCTCAGCGATATCGCTCAGTAGTAATTTGGTAAATTTGGTGGGCGCCGGGGAACACCCAAGTTGCGACAATGACAAGAATTATTTGCTTTGCTTTGGAAAACATGTAAGTGGGTGGTTAAAAAATGTTAGCCTTCTAAAGGGGGCAAAAGTAGGCCCAGGTTGTAAAAATAAAAAGTTTGACAAGCACTGATTAACAAATCAAACATCATCAAACAACTTCTCAAATACATTTCGCTACCTCAGACATGCAAAGTTTTATCGGCCCAGTACTTAGTTTTGAGAAAATTGATGTCAAAGATTTTGAGTTCAACATCCGGTTAAGCTTTTTAAAAGCAATTTTTTGAATATCTTTAAAACGACTCCGAATAATCTTACGATTTTGGTAGAACAGATAGAACATTTAGTTTTTTAATCTCAAAACGGCCAAAAATGTCAGAAAGAACTTTGTTATCCTGAGGTAGTGATTTATTGGAAAACTGCAAGACACTGAAACAAGAGGTACTGACCAGTAAATCGCTCTTTTGACACCTCACCCACCGCTGTTAGTTGACTCAGTAATTCCATGTACCCTGAACAAAAAACAGAAAATGGTAAAAAATTTTATAAAAATAAAAGAAAAAAAAAAAGACATTTGTGGGTTCAGCCGCAAAACACTGTTAGTGACTTTGAAGAACAGGAAGCAAATTGCCATTTTCTTCTCACCTTTACTTCACAGAGTGAGAAATTAAACTGAAAATAAAAAATAAATAAGAAACTAAAGTATTATAAAGTCATAAGCAGAATAATTAAACTTCAACAGTATTTCTACCACTTTATCAAAATTCAAATCATCATGCACTTACAATGCGTTTGTGTTATAACGCGGTGAAATCAGACGCTCATCAATTTAGGGCATGTGGAGCTATTGGTATCATCAAAAAGCTTGTTCATTTGTCTATCTTTCAATTAAAAAAATAACCGTCTATCTAGAACAGAAGTCGAGATATTTGCGATTGAACGAAGTGGGGGTCATGGGGTCATCCAGTTTCAGACAAAAGGTTAGGGAGAAAGATCAACATATTTCAGTAAATATCTCACAAAATCATGTTTTTAATAGGACATAAAAGATGTTGGGCCAAAAAAAACAAAATTTGATAAAAATTGCCAAACCAGCTGGCATTTGTTTCTGACCAGCTTAATCAACATTGACTGACATTCCCAATACACAAATGTTTCTCTCAGTGCATATCTTTGGTGATCATGCTGATCAGAATCAAGAGGCTATTGTATCATAATCAGTGCATGTGCGTGTGTGTGTGTGTGTGTGTGTGTGTGTGTGTGTGCTTGTGCAAATTTTTTGTGGGAGAGGAAGAGAGAAAGAAA